GAGCATTCTGAACTCCACCAACGATGGAATTGAACCAAACTTGGCACACAGAACTCCCATGACTAACAGAAAATGCTGGAAGGGTTTGGTGGGCATTGACCTTGAGTATTGGAGTTGTAGTTTGCTTACATCCAGGTACGGCTTACATCCAGATCTGGACCAAACTTGGCACAAATACTCAATATGTCCAAATGTGAACACCGGTAGAGTTTGGGGAAAATAGACCTTGACATTTGGGAGTTGTCGTTGCTGGGATTTATAGTTCACCCACAATCAAAGAGCATTCTGAACCCCATCAACTATAGAATTGGGCCAAACTTCCCACACAGAATTTCCATGACCATCAGAAAATACTGTGTTTTCTGATGGTCTTTGGCACCTCCTTGCAACCCCCCAGAGGTCCCGACCCCCAGATTGAAAAACACCATGTGCCTCCAAAGCAACCATACAACTTACAATTTTGCAAAATCTACCTAGCAACAGCATAAAATGACAAATAGCAAATAATGGGTAAGATAGTAGGGCTAGTTGTAGGGTTTTTTGGGCTATATGGCCATGTTCTAGAGGCATATATAGCATATATAGTAGGGATATATTAGCCAATGATAAAAGAGCCATCATTAATACACAAAGGAACATTACAAATCACGTACCATATGATTCCCATTGAACTCTCTTTTGTTGTTGTTATCAGCAGAATGTGTTAAGTTCTTCAAGGGTGACTCTGGAATGCTTAATCCGCTTTTCTTTGAAAATCCCAACTATTGATATGTTATCTGGTTTGGTAAAGAAGAAGTCACTGGGCAACTTTTTCAAAGAATGGGAACCGTTTGCATTGTTTACAAAGCAAAAAAGAAAACGTGAAAGATGCCTACGGGTTTGTAAGATGAAGTAAAACACTAAAATCATAAGCTGGAAGAAAGAAGTTGGTTCAGATATTTTAGCACATTTCATCACGAGGACTTGGAGTTAAACATGAGCCAACAATGCCATGCGGACGCTAAAAAAGCCAATGGGATTTTGGCCTGCACCAATAGGAGTCTAGTGCCTAGATCCAGGGATTGATAACGTTCTCATCTGCTATGTGTGAAAAAGAGCTGTTCAGCAGTGGAACTCACTGCCTCAGGGTGTGATGGAGGCTCCTTCTTTGGAGGCTTTGAAACAGATGCTGGATGGTCATCTGTCGGGGGTCTTGAAGCCAGGCAAAGACCGTAATGATCCAAGAAGCTATAGACCGATCTCCCTGTTGTGCCACCTCTATAAAGTCCTGGAGAGACTTACCTTGCATAGAATTATGGAAAAAATAGATCCATGTCTGATCCCACAGCAAGCTGGCTTCAGGAAAGGCAAAAGCTGCACATCGCAAGTGCTGAACCTGACTCAGCACATAGAAGATGGCTTTGAAAGGTAGCAGATCACAAGAGCTGTCTTCATAGACCTGTCAGCGGCTTATGATACTGTGAACCACTGCCTCCTCCTGAGAAAAATGTATAATATTACAAAGGACGACCACCTCACCGGCCTCATAGGAAACCTGCTACAAAACAGGAGCTTTTTTGTTGGCTTCCAGGGCCAGAGAAGCAGATGGCGGAAACAGAAGAACGGCCTGCCTCAGGGGAGCGTGCTTGCTCCATCCATGTTCAACATCTACACAAATGACCAGCCACTGCCAGAAGGGACAGAGAGTTTCATCTATGCTGATGATCGTGCCATCACCGCTCAAGTAGGGAGCTTTGAGATGGTAGAACAGAAGCTCTAAGTGCTTTTATTGCCTATTACAGGGAAAACAGCTGATCCCCAACCCATCTAAAACACAGACATGTGCCTTTCACCTTAAGAACAGACAAGCATCCCGAGCTCTGAGGATCACCTGGGAAGGAATCCCACTGGAGCATTGCAACACACCCAAATACCTGGGAGTCACTCTGGACCATGCTCTTACCTACAAGAAGCACTGCCTGAACATCAAACAAAAAGTGGGTGCTAGAAACAATATCATATGAAAGCTGACTGGCACAACCTGGGGTTCACAACCAGACACAGTGAAGACATCTGCCCTTGCGCTTTGCTACTCTGCTGCTGAGTACGCATGCCCAGTGTGGAACACATCTCACCACGCTAAAACAGTGGATGTGGCTCTTAATGAGACATGCCGCATTATCACGGGGTGTCTGCGCCCTACACCACTGCAGAAATTACACTGCTTAGCTGGTATTGCACCACCTGACATCCGCCGGAAGTAGCAGCCAATAGTGAAAGGACCAAGGCAGTGACATCTCCAGCTCATCCCCTGTTTGGGTATTAGCCAGCACGCCAAGGACTTAAATCAAAAAATAGTTTTCTAAGATCTACAGAGACACTTGCTGGAACACCTCAGCGAGAGTCCAAAAGTGGCAGGCTCAAACACAGAACCTCAATCAACCCCCCTGAGCACACAGAGGACTGGGTGACTTGGAAGGCGCTGAACAGACTGCGCTCTGGCACCACAAGATGCAGAGCCAACCTGAAGAAATGGGGCCACAAAGTGGAATCCACGACATGCGAGTGTGGAGAAGAGCAAACCACTGACCACCTGCTGCAATGCAACCTGAGCCCTGCTACATACACAATGGAGGACCTTCTTCCAGCAACACCAGAGGCACTCCAAGTGGCCAGATACTGGCCAAAGGACATTTAATAGAATGCCAAGTCTGCAAACTTTGTGTTTTGTTTGTTTGTTTGTTAAAAATGCAATGCAACTGATTGGTTTGCTCCTGACACAATAAATATAGCATTGAATGGCCTAGCAGTTTTCAAGGTGTCACTTACTACTGCCTGCGGGAATCCTTTATTGGAAACTAGGCAAGTGGGGGTTTCGATATCTGTAGAATGATGCCCAGGGTGGGAGAAGTAACTTTTGTCTGTTGGAGGTAGGTGTGAATGTTGCTATTGGTCACCTTGATTAGCATTGAATGGCCTAGCAGTTTTCTAGGTGTGGCTTCCTACTGCTTGGGGGAATCCTTTGTTGGAAGCTAGGCAAGTGGGGGTTTCGATATCTGTGGAATGATGTCCAGGGTGGGAGAAAGAACTCTTGCCTGATGGAGGCAGGTGTGAATGGACTTGCAGCTTCAAAGCCTGCCTGCTTCCTGCCTGGGGGGAATCCTTTGTTGGAAAGTAGGCAAGTGGCAGTTTCTCTATCTGTGGAATGATGTCCAGGGTGGGAGAAATAACTCTTGTCTGTTGGAGGCAAGTCTAAATGTTGCCATTGACCACCTTGATTAGCACTGAATGGACTTGTAGCTTCAAAGCCTATCTGCTTCCTGCCTGGGGGAATCCTACATTGGAAACTAGGCAAGTGGGGATTTATATATCTGTGGAATGATGCCCAGGGTGGGAGAAAGAACTCTTGTCTCTTTGAGGAATGTTGTAATTGGCCACCTTGATTAGCATTGAATGGCCTAGCAGTTTTCAAGGTGTGTCTTTCTACTGCCTGGGGGAATCCTTTGTTGGAAACTAGGCAAGTGGTGGTTTCTATATCTGTGGAACGATGCCCAGGGTGGGAGAAAGAACTCTTGTCTGTTGGAGGCAGGTGTGAATGGACTTGCAGCTTCAAAGCCTGCCTGCTTCCTCCCGGGGGGGATCCTTTGTTGGAAACTAGGCAAGTGGGGGTTTATATATCTCTGGAATGATGTCCAAGGTGAGAGAAAGAACTACTGTGTCTTTGAGGAATGTTGCCATTGGCCACTTTGATTAGCCCTGAATGGACTTGCAGCTTCAAACCCTGGCTGCTTCCTGCCTGGGGGAATCCTTTGTTGGAAACTAGGCAAGTGGGGGTTTATATATCTGTGGAATGATGCCCAGAGTGGGAGAAAGAACTCTTGTCTGTTGGAGGCAGGTGTGAATGGACTTGCAGCTTCAAAGCCTGGCTGCTTCCTCCCGGGGGGAATCCTTTGTTGGAAACTAGGCAAGTGGCGGTTTCTATATCTGTGGAATGATGTCCAGGGTTGGAGAAAGAACTCTTGTCTGTTGGAGGCAGGTGTGAATGTTGTCATTGGTCACCTTGATTGGAATAATGTCCAGGATGGGAGAAAAAACTCTTGTCTGTGTGAATGTTTGAATTGGCCACCTCGATTAGCATTGAATGGCCTGGCAGTGTTCAAGGTCTGGCTTCTTACTGCCTGGGGGGAATCCTTTGTTGGAAACTAGGCAAGTGGGGGTTATATATCTGTGGATGTCCAGAGTGGGAGAAATAACTCTTTTGGGTGCATGTATGAATGTTTGAATGTATGAATGTTAGAGCCCCCGGTGGCGCAGTGGGTTAAAGCACTGAGCTGCTGAGCTTGTTGATCGAAAGGTCGCAGGTTCGATTCCGGGGAGCGGCGTGAGCTTCCGCTGTCAGCCCTAGTTTCTGCCAACCTAGCAGTTCGAAAAACATGCAAATGTGAGTAGATCAATAGGTAGCGCTCCGGCGGGAAGGTAACGGCGCTCCATGCAGTCATGCCGGCCACATGACCTTGGAGGTGTCTACGGACAACGCTGGCTCTTCGGCTTAGAAATGGAGATGAGCACCACACCCCAGAGTCAGACATGACTGGACTTAATGTCAGGGGACTACCTTTTTTTTTTAATGAATGTTTGAATTGGCCCCCTTGATTAGCATTGAATGGCCTAGCAGTTTTCTAGGCGTGGCTTCCTACTGCCTGGGGGAATCCTTTGTTTCCAATTAGGAGGTGACATTTATGACCCAGGAACATTGCCTAGTGCCATAGTTCAGGTGTGATGGGACTTGGGAGAGAGGATGCGATGAGCTTGGGAATGCAAAGGGAGAGATGATGCCGCTCCCACTCTTTTTGGGATGAGCCCAATGCGAGAAGGATGTGGGATCCCAAAGCTGGGGAGGGGGTGTCTTGGGGGGGGGGGGGTCTCCATCCTGGCTGTGTCTTCTCTCCCTGCCTCTGCCTGGCTTTGGGTGGAGGGAATGGGTGGTGGCGTGGAGGAGGCTCCCTCCCGGAGAGGAAGTGACCCAAGGCTGCAGGAATGCCAGGCTGGCTGGCTGGGCGGAGGCGGGGCGGGAGCCTTCCTCCTCCTCCTCCTCCTCCTCCTCCTGCTCTTCTCCTCCTCCTCCTTCCTCGGGGGAAGCCATGCCGCACTTCACGGTGGTCCCGGTGGAGGACCGGCTCCGGGGGGACTATGACAACCTGGAGGGGCTGAGCTGGGTGGACTACAGCCAAGGGCCCGGAGGCAGGGAAGGCGGCGACCCCCGGAGGGACCCCGACGACACCCTCGGCTCCGACGGTGAGTCCCAGGCGGCGCCTCCCGTCCAGCTCTCCCTCCTCCTCCTCCTCCTCCTCTCTCTCCCTCCTTCTCTCTCCCTCTTTCTTCCTTTCCAGATGTTTTCACACTTCAACTCCACTTGGCTGGCCGGGGCTGGTGGGAAATGAAGTCCACTCTGGAAAGAAAAAAACCTCCAAGGGACCCAAAGTCCTTCTCTGCCTTTATTTCCCTCCTCTTTGCTCCCTCTTTCTTTCTCTCTCTCTCTCCCTGTCCCTCACACACATTTCTTCCTCTCTCCTTCTCTTTTCTTCTTTTTCCTCCTTCCCTCTTTCTCTCTCTCTCTCTTTCACGTCTTTCTCCTTCTCTCTCCTCTTTCTCCTTCCCTCTTTCTCTCTCTCTTCTTTCTCTCTCCTTCTCTCCTCTCTCCTTCCCTCTTTCTTTCTCTCACTTCTTCTTTCCCTTTCCTTCACTCTCCTTTCTCCTCTCTCTCTTTCTCTGTCCTTCCCCCTCTCTCTCTTTCACGTCTTTCTCTCTCCTTCCCCCTTTTTCTCTCTCTTCTTTTTCTCTCCTTCTCTCCTCTCTCCTTCCCTCTTTCTTTCTTTCACTTCTTCTTTCCCTTTCCTTCCCTCTCCCTTCTCTCATTCTCTCTCCTTCCCTCTCTTCTTACTCTCTCCTTGGCTTTCCTTTCTCTTCTTTTTCCTTTTCTTTCCTTCCCTCTTTCTTTCACTTCTTCTTCCTCTCTCCTTCTCTTCCCTCTTTCACATCTTCCTTTCTTTCCTTCACTTTCTTTCTTTCTTTCTTTCTTTCTTTCTTTCTTTCTTTCTCATTTTGCTCCCCACCTCTCTCTTCTTTCCTTCTCTCACTTCTTCTTCCTCTCTCACATTCCCTCTTTCTCTTCTTCTTCTCTCACCTTTTCTCCTCTTTCCTTCTCTCACTTCTTTTCTCTCTCTCTCCTTCCTTCTTTCTTTCTTTCTCTTCTTCTTCATCTCTCCTTTTCTTTCCTTCCCTCTTTCCACCTCTCACTTCTTCCTCTCCTTCCCTCTTTCCTTCTCTCACTTCTTCCTCTCTCTCCTTCTTTCTTTGTCTCTTCTTCTTCCTCTCTCCTTTTCTCTCCTTCTCTTTCCCTCTCTCACTTCTTTTTCCTCTTTCTCATTCCCCCCTCTCTTCTTCTTTCACCTTTTCTCCTCTTTCCTTCTCTCACTTCTTCTTTCTCTCCTTCCCTCTTTCTTTATCTTCTTCTTCATCTCTCCTTTTCTCTTCTTCCCTCTTTCCGTCTCTCACTTCTTTCTTTCCTTCTCTCACTTCTTCTTCCTGTGTCTCCTTCACACTTTCCTTCTCTCACTTCTTCCTCTCTCCTTCCTTTCTTTCCCTCCTTCTTCCTCTATGCTTTTCTCTCCTTCTCTTTCTTTCTCTCACTTCTTCTTCGTCCCTCGTTCTTTTCCTTCCCTCTTTTTTCCTCTGACTTCTTCTTTCTCTCTCTTTCTCCCTCCTTTCTTCTTCTCTCTCATTCTTTTTACTCTCTCACTTATTCTTCCTCTTTTCTTTTCTCTACTCTTTCCTTCTCTCTTTCTCCTCCCCCCTCCTCTCTCTCTCTTTCCTCCTTCCTTCCTTCCATCTATCTATCTATCTATCCCTCTTCTGATATTTCAGCTCCACACAAAGTCACCACTTTGGGCTCCCTTTACTCCAGACTGAACTTCAAGGGCTGCATCTACACCAGGCCTGGGCAAGCTTGGATCCTCCAAGTGTTTTGGACTTCAACTCCCACAATTCCTAACAGCCTCAGGCCCTTTCCGCTTAAGCAGCTGAAAGGAGAAAGAAAGGGGCCTGAGGTCATTAGGAATTGTGGGAGTTGAAGTCCAAAACATCTGGAGGGACGAAGTTTTCCCAGACCTATACTAGATGGTATTAGTGATCCCTTCCAGCTCTATTATTATTATTATTATTATTATTATTATTATTATTATTATTATTATTATTTGAAACATAACAAGATAAGTTCACAGCAGACACTCTGCTGGCTGTTGAGTTGCTTCACACGTCGGACACTTCCCAAGTGTCTAGGATTATTATTACTACTACTATTATTATTATTATTATTATTATTATTATTATTATTATTATTATTATTATGTGACTCCACAGCTTCCACATAAGCCTTTGCTTGAAGCAATCTAATTTAGGACACCGGAATGGGGCGAGGAATGCGTTTTTAATAGTTTCTATAATTAGATCATCGTAATTCCCAATTCGTAGCACAAGTTTGCTGGCTTGACCTGTAGTTTTGCACCTGTTTCTGCTTGGATGGATTTGGGGGTCCAGATTCCCACAAGTCTCGTGTTTGCCCAAAGCTTGGAAAAGTTACTTTTCAAACCCAACTCCAATGTTTCCCACACACTCTACTCGTTCAGTCCAGGCTTGCTTCAATGGGGAGACTGTTGATGTCAGGAAAAAGCCAAGACTCTCTGTTTGTTTCAGATGCAGAGCAAGGGCGGTGTTGCCTAGGGATATGTTTTCGGCAACTTGCCGCCTTGCAAAAATCACCTAATTGCTGAAACCAGGCAAGTTGCTGCTGGAATGTTTATTATGACCAGAGGCGCTCTTGAATCATCATTGGGAGGAACAGGCCTGTTCGCTTTTGCGGGCCTTTTAACTTGGTTTTGGAGTCTGCATTTATACCCGAGGCACGCATATTCTGCTTTGAGGATGTGGGCTTGCCCTATGAATATTTATGCTAAAATAGATCAGTCTGAAAGATGCCATAAATTTCCTTCTCCCACTTCGCTTTCTTACTTTGCTTTACTTACTTACTTAGGCGATCCCTCGTTGTCCAAGTCGGATAATCTTCTAGGGTGAGTACGTAGGTGACTATGGAGCCCTATTTTTGATCTGCATCTTCTCCCACAGTGAGGGCATTGGTTTCCAGGTGGAAGGCGGTCCCGGACAGGGTTGGCTTGACATGCCTTCCTCTTGGCACATTTCTCTCTTTCGCCCTCCATTCATTCCTCTTCAAATTCTGCAGCACTGCTGGTCACAGCTGACCTCCAGCTGGAGTGCTTGCAAACAAGGGCTTCCCAGTTCTCAGGGTCTTTGCCAGAGTTTATAAGGTTGGCTTTGAGCCCATCTTTAAATCTCTTTTCCTGTCCGTCAACATTCTGTTTTCCATTCTTGAGTTCGGAGTAGAGCAACTGCTTTGGGAGATGGTGGTTGGGCATCCGGACAACGTTGCCAGTCCAGCGGAGTTGATGACGGAGGACCATCGCTTCAGTGCTGGTGGTCTTTGCTTCTTCCAGCACACTGACATTTGTCCGCTTGTCTTCCCAAGAGATTTGCAGGATTTTCCGGAGACAGCACTGATGGAATCGTTCTAGGAATTGCATGTGACGTCTGTAGACAGTCCATGTTTCGCAGGTGTATAGCAGGTTTGGGAGGATAAAACTTTATAAACAAGCACCTTGGTATCCCTAAGGATGTCCTGATCCTCAGACACTCTCTGCTTCACCTCACCTCTGAGGACGCTTGCCATAGATACAGGCGAAACGTCAGGAGAAATGCCTCTAGAACATCGCCATAAAAAAACCCACAAGAACTGAGTGATTCCGGCCATGAAACTTTCGAGTGTATCTCTCTGCTTCATTTGGAGAAATGCTGCACTCGTAGAGCTCAGGCGCTGTTGTATTTTGGTATTTTGGTATGACTTTGGTGGAGAGGTGGCTGTTGCTGCAACTCAGGATAGATTCACCTTGCTCAAGACACCACCCCACACCAAGACTGTAGGTTTTGTGGTTTACTGAAGAAAAAGCAAAATAAAAAAATGTAGAAGTTGCAAAAGTTCAGTAGCCAAAACAGAGTCTTAAATGCACAGGCAAAGTTCCCAAGATCCAGAGGCAAATAACATGAAGTATATTCCTTTAGCATTGGTTAAACAAGAATCCATGGCAGCATGACAAAGTCCCCAAAAAATCAAGAGCAAAATCAAAGTCCCAAAAATGGAGATTTGATCAGGAGGACCGTTTGCAATTAAGGGTTCACTGAAGTGCATGCCTTGCCAACAAATGTGAAATGTGAGGTCAACGTAATGCTTTCATGTTGGGGAAACATATTTAACGATCTGATTGAAGTCTGTCCGTTGTCAATGCAATGTTGCTTATACCCTGTTAACTTCTCTGAAATTACCTCAGCTTTTGGGGATTCTGGGAGGGATTCTGGGATTCATCATCACCCTCTTCAAAAAAGGGGAAAGAACAGACTACAGAAACTAATGAGGTATCTCCCTTCTAACCTCCGCTGGGAAAATCCTTGCAAGAAACCGCCTTCTACCCTTCTCAGAAGACAGAATCCCAGAACGGCTTCCACCCCTCCAGAGGAACTGTGGACATGATCTTCACTGCACAACAACCTACTTTGTTTAGTTTGCAAAAGACTAATAACAATAAAGCCAGCACTGTTGTGATGTAGGTATTGGACTAGGAGTGCATCTACACTAGGCATGGGCAAACTTCGGCCCTCGGGTGTTTTGGACTTCAACTCCCACAATTCCTTAGGAGAAAAGGCGACTGGAACATGGCCATACAGCCCGAAAAACTCACAGCAACTCAGATACCAAACTGCATTAATTCTACAGTGTAGATGCATCCAAAAATCCGGTGATCTGTGTTCAAATCCTTGCTTCTGGGATAGACTTAGGCAAGACATACAATAACAACATTAGCTCACTTGCATGGGATTCATGGATGGAATTAGAGCTTGATCTTGGTAAACTTACCCTTTTGTGTTACTTATTGCAGTGGTGTAATGATATAAGCAGCCTTCCCCAAGCTGTTACCCTCTCAATAGATTGCAGTTATAGCTTCTGAAATCTGTTGGCTCGCCATATGTTCCTAGCCTAAGTTACATCAGCAATTTATTGTGTGGATTAAAGGGGTGGGAAGTGTCCGTACTAGTAGGATGCAAAGTGCAATTACTTTTGGACAAAAATGCAGGAAGTTCAGAAGTTTCAGTTTCTGTGCAGTGCTCTCGTC